CCCAGGTCGTTGGCGTCTCCCTAAATATCAGCCTTCATTTGATCCCCGTTGTTGGAAAGACGTAAACAAGTAAACTTATCAATCTTCCAATAATATAACGGTTGGGGATTTGTCCTACCAGCGTGTAAAGATAAAGTCGGATTTCCATAGTTTGCGAATGCTCTGCTACCTCTAATGACTGATAGTAAAAGGGCGAATGGACTTTGAATGTAATCTTTCAGTGGCGTAGCAAATGCTTTTAGGAGTGTACGCTTTCAAGAGAGGGTCCGGGGGCAACGTCTCGGTGTTGGGTCTGGGATGAAGTAAAGTAAAAATAACCGTAAGAAAAATATCTCAGTTGAATTCGAGTGTATGTTTCAGAATACAATCAAACATAATTTCTACGCCACTGTTTTTTTTCTCCTTCTTCTTAATGTCTCTTTTGGTATTGCTGTATGTTTAGTCTTTAGTCGATCGCCCCTGTTAGGAAGTTTTTGCTTTTTTCTTTATATTTACTACTCTCTGCTTCATGTTCAGCATTACGGTATTGTAACGACTGGTTATAATAAATAATGTGATCGTGTGGGTTACCCTGCTAAGGCCTTTGGCAGTACATCTGTTATAGAGCTGTGAAGTCGGCATCAGCTCCAAACGAGAAATACTCTAAATTCTCCTTTACCTATGAGATGACTGAGGATATTCAATATTGGTTGAAAAAGATGTCAAATTCTAGATGCGGGTTGCGCTATCCCTAAAACTTTTTTTGAAAACTGAATTATTCAAAACAAAAAAGCGCTACTATTTGAAACGGAATTTGCAAATGCTAATTTTTTCAATATATGAAAAATGATAATCTGCAGTTACGACGCGCAGGCAATGAGCTACCGACATAGTGATCGATCATGATGATGATGAGTGTATATATTGTAAATATTAACTCCTTATTTTCTTGTCAAACTAGGATATTTGATCGCCCTGCTGACATTATCCGTGCATTAATCCTGTAACCCGACACAACTACGGTTAATATCAGCATGGTTACGACCATAAAATACCCATAGTCTTCATCAACATGGATCTCTCAGCATTTTGTACAACTGCATGATGCAGCTTGCGAAATTAATGGCGCTGTAGACAAATGAATTTTAATTATTAATTCGAATAATGGCAGAATTAGAATGCACAAATGTACAAACATTCTTCTGAAAAATATACTTTATGACTTCATCTTCTCATCTAAGTTTGGACATTTCTCTCGATCGTTACTTTTCTAAGTAGCATTATACGTTACAACCACTAGCGAGTCTAAGGAGCATGAAACCAATGTATGGTATAATCTTAATGTTATGTGGCTCTACCGTGTCGGCATATATTGGTTATACAATCTTAATGTTATGTGGCTCTACCGTGTCGGCATATATTGGTTATGTCTTGAAAGGTGCCATCCACTTATGTGTCTTTCGCGGATTTTATCTGTCAGCTGTCGACACGCTTCCTCGGAATTTTTATATTGAGTCAAATAATCGAATATCGAACATTTTTTATGAAAATGCAATAAGGTGTAGAAGCAGGGATGTTGCTTTCTAAGCAAAGTTAAAATAAAATGGTCATACTTATCATACAGATTGATAGAAATCAAAGTATTCTTGTTCTGCTTTTGTCAGTAATAAACATCCTAATGCCCCCTTTGGCAATACTAAAATGAAGGTAGTAACAATAATACATGGAATATAGAGTCATGAAAGAGGGATAAGTCGGCTGCTTTATATAAACGTGGAGAGATAATTATTCATATCACTATGTTATTAAGTGTACCGACTCAGCACTGTAAACGAGTCAAATATCTTAAGCGATGGAAAAGAGATTGCCAGTTATATAAACTAAGAATGAACTTTTGGAATCAGCACTTTGTATTATTCTCTAGATTTGCATTTTCAGCGAAAGAATCGAGAATACCCAGATCTTGACGTAATTACCACAAAGGGGACAATATCAACATTATACAAGGTTTATGCAAGATGAGGGCACCAAGTCAAATGGGAATTAAGGAAAGTAAAGAAGGATATATATAAAGAAATTGCAGGGAATGATAAACACCAGCCTAATCGTTGTTCGGAAATTTGTAAGTGCAAACAGGAAAGAATGATTAGGCTTTTCGAATTGAAAAAAAAAGGACTGAATGGCGACCAAACACAATGCTCTTCGGAGATAGACTCATTAATCAACCGTTGGAGGACGCACTCTGCAACGCAGATATAATCAGGAAACGTCTGTTGAAACTGGACGGAAATAGATCACCAAGTCTTAATGAAATACTCCCAAAATCATTTGAGAAACTTCGAAATGTTTTGGGTAAATCCGTGTTAATCTTATCTAAGAAATATCGGGAAGACGGTAAACTACCGCAAAAATCGACGTAAGCAAACACTAATGCCATCTATAGAAAAATCTAAATCTGACACAGGGAATTACCTAGTCCATAGGGCTCTAAGTATCTATCAGCGATTTGATGTAACTTGTTCTTTTGTGCGGCAAATGCAAGCTAAATATTTATTTAGCAAAAACCAATTTGGATTTCTAACTTAATTACCAACATTTCCGACGCTAGAAGTTTTCGATAACTGGGCCAACTTGCTTTTATAAGGGTTTTATGTTGACTTTCAACATGGTCCACTTCGTCGCCTCAGACACATGCTACATAAATCTTAAATAGGTCATAAAACAATCAAAAGAATGGAATAGTTCCAGAATGGTAGGCAACAAAAAGGTTTTTGCTAGCGGGCCTTTATCAGGGTTCCATGACGTCAACACGAGTCATCATCAAGGTTCCATGACGTTTACACCTGTCATCATCAAGGTTCTGTGACGTTAACACGAGTCATCATCAAGGTTCTGTGACGTTTACACCTGTCATCATCAAGGTTCTGTTACGTTTACATCAGTCATCATCAACGTTCTATGACGTCAACACGAGTCATAATCAAGGTTCTGTGACGTTAACACGAGTCATCATCAAGGTTCTGTGACGTTTACACTAGTCATCATCAAGGTTATGTGACGTCAACACGAGTCATCATCAAGGTTCTGTGACGTTAATACGAGTCATCATCAAGGTTCTGTGACGTTTACACCAGTCATCATTAAGGTTATGTGACGTCAACACGAGTCATCATCAAGGTTCTGTGACGTTAACACGAGTCATAATAAAGGTTCTAAGACGTTAACACGAGTCATCATCAAGGTTCCGTGACGTTAACACGTGTCATCATCAAGGTTCTATCATGTTAGCATGAGTCATCATCAAGGTTCTGTGACGTTAACACGAGTCATCCTCAAGGTTATGTGACGTTAACACGAGTCATCATCAAGGTTATGTGACGTCAACACGAGTCATCCTCAAGGTTCTGTGACGTTAACACGAGTCATAATCAAGGTTCTAAGACGTTAACACGAGTCATCATCAAGGTTCCGTGACGTTAACACGCGTCATCATCAAGGTTCTGTGACGTCAACACGAGTCATCATCAAGGTACTATAACGTCAACACGAGTCATCATCAAGGTTCTGTGACGTCAACACGAGTCATCATCAAGGTTCTATGATGTCAACACGAGTCATCATCAAGGTTCTGTGACGTTAACATGAGTCATAATCAAGGTTCTGTGACGTTAACACGAGTCATCATCAAGGTTCTATGACGTCATCGAGTTTCTGTGACGTTAACACGAGTCATCATCAAGGTTCTGTGACGTCAACACGAGTCATCATCAAGGTTCTATGATGTCAACATGAGTCATCATCAAGGTTCTGTGACGTTAACACGAGTCATCATCAAGGTTCTGTGATGTTAACATGTGTCATCATCAAGGTTCTGTGACGTTAACATGAGTCATCATCAAGGTTCTGTGACGTCAACACGAGTCATCATCAAGGTTCTATGACGTTGACAGTGGAACTTCTAAAGCAAGTGTGCTGAGATCCATCATGTCCGTGCTGCGTATAAACGATATGACAGAATATTCAACATATTTCACATATGATACAAAACTGTTTTCGAAAAGTTAATAACAACAATGACAAAATCAAATCAAACAATAAAATCTCCATTACCTTCAAAACGATCAAACTGGGCACTAAGAGTTTACCAAAATAAATACAAAGTACTCTATATCAAGCGATCAGACCTGGAATATCATCTTATGGACCAGAATGATAAGAAAACTACACTAGAAAGCCTTATCAGTGGAAACTATTTAGGTGTAAGGTTAGATACCAAGCTGTACACATAAAGACTTATCACTACAGGGCATTATTAGAAGATAATCAGTTTATACAGGTCATATTTAAACATTTGTACAAGACAGAGATTGAGAAAATATTAAATAACCAAACGTTAGAGTTTGAATTTATTTGATGAAAGAGTCATGTCCAATCCATTAACTTTTCGTAAAACTTGCAGAACATCAGGGCACAATTACAAAATGAACATTCACATTCAGAGTAGCTGAGGGAATCTGTAATTTCTTTTAGTGAACATTTTCAAGATACAATTTATGATATGTAATATTTTCCCCTATTCTTTCTCCTTATTGCCTTTTTGGAGAAACTTTGAGCTGCTTCGTACAGCTCTAGCTCCACCCAGCAACTATACAAAATATATTGTTTACACCTTTGATCAGTAAGGACCTAAACTTGTCAAGATATATTAATAACAAACTATTAATTACCAAAATCCAAGATGGCCACCCTTCAGCCATTTTAATTTTCCAAGCAGTTCTAAATACACAATGCATTACTTGTACCAAAGGCAACCTACATATGAAATCTAAGAATGATCCACCTAGTTCCTATCAAGATATGACATCAATAACATTTTACCATCAGATCCAACATGGCTGAAGGATGATTTGAAAATCCCACCATCGAGTGATAATGGAACGAAAGAATTCGCTTTTATTTTATGGTGGAAGTTTTGAATTTAGCACAGAATTCATTGTAAATATTACAAAACACCCAAAAGGTTAGATATAATATATGAGATTTATTAGACAATTTGACACAAAACAGCATGAAACTATTTCTTATACAACAACACTATAATTGTACATAACAGTAGAAACACCACCTTTTGGCAAGACGGGGTAGTGTAACATATTCTAACTGTTTAACAGTTTAATGAAATTATTATTTTTGCACACTTTCGTTATATATACAGTGTTTTATGTTAGCAAGAAGTAAATAATCTACATTAAATTGAATGTCAAAGTAGATTTCACCGCAAGACAAAAAAGTATTTCCAAAATTAATTTGACTTAATTGCCATTCCAGATTTTCAGTCCTTTAATATTGTTGACTGTTCTGTTCAATGCCAACCATGTATAATGTCAAAACTGAATCAAAGTTCACCAGGTTAAATAAAAGGTCAAATATTCCCAGGTCGATAACGCCACATTTGTAAGTACTAGTATTTCCAAAACAAAAAGTCACAATACATTTTCATACAATGTATATAACAGTTCTACTTCTCAAATATCTAGTATAATAACAATGATATGATTAAGCAATACCAAATCTTAAAAAATCTGTGTGTAATTTCTGCAAATATTTTAAGCAGTTTGAATTTAAATTGATGCACACATTGTTGCTATCCTAGTTCAAAATATATCTAAATATCATTTACTTGAATTTAAAAAATTTCTGACTGGCAGATGAAATATTCAATAAAGATACACAAGTTATCATATTTCTAAAAAAAAATTCTACATAAGATGAAGTATGATCAAATGTATTTATATACAAGAAGATTTTTTCTTATATTTATGAACATCTTTACATGCTCAAAGGCATGTTTTTCTAACAAGCTATGTCATTAAGCACTCCGAGTACTTTGCAGTTGGATAACAAGCTTCCCTGGGTGAAGTCCTCAACATCAAATTAAGACTGTAATAACTTGACAAATAAAGTTCTGAATATTGGCCTTGGGTACTGCAATGTTCTCTTTTAAAAGATTAATACTCTTGACACCTCTTGAATACTCTCTCAGAACTTGTATAACAAAGTCCTCACAATGGAGTAAACACAGCTGATAGATATTAGAAAAATCTTGTACTTCATTTGACACAATTATATTTAACAGCATAATTAATATTTTTTTGTGGTGTGCTTTTCTTAACAATAAAAGAGTAAAACACAACATTGGATAATTATATTTAACAATTTCCTTTAAAGTACATCGATGGGTATCTTCTGTTACAGATATAAGGAGTTAACACTATTGCAAAAAAATATAGTATACCTGTGGATTTTTGTAAAAAGGTTAGCTTAATTACTCTTAGACTTGTATATACATACACTTCTGTTTACAGTTTTGAAATGAAATAATAAAAAAAGTGTGAAAATGCAACATTCTATTAACAAATGTGCCCTGTGTATACAGCTGCAGCATTAATCTTGCTATCAGATTTCATTTAAGGTATTAAATTAATGGAGGCAAATTTATATAAAAAATATGACATTGACAGTAGGTATTTCTACAAAAATTATTTCTGGTATTCATGAGAAATCTCTATGACAACAAAATGTTGACAAAACTGTTGTATTGTAATTTATTAGTAAGTTCCTCACTTACTATATGTGTCATCAGCAGTGAAGGATTCTATCTGCCATCTGGAAGACACAGGGAACGGCAGAAAGACAATTTACAGATATATATAGGATCTTTATAAACATTGTGCAGGAACTATTAGTAAACCTGTCACAAAAATATTTATATATATTATAATGTTTTGATTTCTTATCAAAACCTTCAAAATAATTTTCATATATCATTAAGTACTGCAAAATCTTCAACTTATTTTAGGGGGCCGGTGGAGGGTTCTTTTTGTTTTTTTGTTTTTTTTCTCAGAACAATAATCTTTCAATGGCAGATGGAGAGTACATAAGAAATCAACTGCTATTAAGAACTCATTTCAAAACTGATCACTTTACAGTATTCATAATTAGTTTCTCAATACTAGGTTTTGTTGTTTAGATTTAACACTATCATAATTTTCATTTTTTTTCAAAAATCAACTAAAACGTCACATTTTAAAAGTTATAGCACTTTGTCAAAACCTTAACAATTTTTCACAGTGTAATCTGAGCTTTTACACACAAATTCGAAACAGACAAAACAATCTAAAATTTGTATTTCAGATAAGTAAAGATGAAGAAAACCAGTTGACATCAATATCAAATGAGTTTGACACCAAACAAGTGCTTAATGAACTTTCAATATATCTAATTGAGTACATTTTATCAAACTGTGGGAAATATTTACAATGTATTTCAATGCTTAAATAATATTCTGTCTTTGGTGTCAAACAGTTCTATATATCACTATAGAAAAAGTATTAAACAGTTGGAGTTCTTTTACAAAAGCAATATTCTAAAATTGAATCTTTATAAATGAATTTTCATCACAAAAAATACTGTTTACCTTTATCTTGTCTGAAAATACAATTTTAAGTGTACAAACTGAGTATCAGATTATCATCAACAAATTGGACAGTATTTCCATTCAGCTATTTTTTCACAATGCTCCTGATGTTTTACATTATGTTCTCATGGCTACAGTCACAAAAGACAGAGACGCAGCATTAATATACATATGATCTGAAGAACAAATTTACCTTTTCGCACTCAAAAAATGGAGTATATCGTAACTGACATCTACAAGACATGAATACATTTCCAGAGTAGTGTTGTAAGGTTGTCATAGTGATTCTGTATGGTCATTACTGTTTAGTTCCAATTAACATGAAACACACCAGAATTCTATTAATATCAAAATTCACGGTTTGTTATCGTGCAAGTTGATAAAATCCTTAGAATTTAAATAGCATTATGACACTACTAGTAAGGGATAATTTCAATAAGACCAAGTTTTGAAGGAAAAAAAAAAGAAAAAAAAGAAAATGTTGACAGCATAATACATAGATTCCACCCAAAAGAAAGATAAGTGAAAATTTTGACTTCACATTGTCAAACAAGGATTATACATCTAAATAAAAACATGCATGAACAAATATGTATATTTATCTACAGGATTTTTATTCAAATAATATCTTTTCTGAAACTTTCAGCTTCATCACATATATATATATATATAACCAATCACAGATTTCTAATCGATTAATCGTTTTATTGATCTGTGTTTACGTAGCTTGATTCAATAGATTCCTATTTCTGGTCAACGCTTACACAATGAGTTGTCAACACCATGATTTCATCACAAGAACAATACAAAAAGATTTAACAATAGCATCTATAACAAATGAGCACCAAGTATGCTACACTAACAACCTCTCCTCCCTATTTCACTCAAGTAGACTATCCATGTCTTTGATATGAAATGGACCATTACAGTAGATAGGGGGAGAGCAATAACATCATTCAAAAACCAATACCAATTAATCTGACCACCAACACGTCTTTAACTTTAAGAACTTTTCTAGCACTTTCCTTTCATAGGCCAAGATAGTTTGGAAAACAACATAGTCTAGTCATTTAGAACCCTGATTTAAGACAGGAAAAGATGGATAAATTCTAAAAACAGAGGACCTCTCTTTAAAAGTATCAAATATCAGAATCTTAGTGACCTTACACTGAACTTTACTTGTTTACATAACAATCAGGCTGACTAGGTGCCCCTATCCTATACATTGGGTTAATGCATACAATGACTTAAGAACGTCTGGACTATAACCATTAATGAAGCATCTGATAACAAGCTCTTTTAATATATGTGACTAACAACATTACTTTCATACCTTCTTAAATATTTTCTTTTTGTCCAATGAAAATTGCACATTAATTTTTTTTAATGTATCTTTTCATACAGAATCAAGACAATGACAGAGATAGTCGACTGCACTAAAGTTTTCTTATCAAAGGTGTCTGTTCTACAAACTCAATCACTTCAATATGTTCCTGTCAAATGAGTGCAAACACTTTGACCAGCAAATAGACTCATCCAGTACCTAGAACCCAAATTCTTTTTCATTTTCCAAACAATAAATCCTATGCTTTCAGCAGAATTATATATCATCTTGGGACTTAAATAGTCCCTTTAAGAGCTTCACCAGAAATGAATGTGGGTGGGGTGAAAAGTGAGGTGACTTTAGGGGCATGGAGTTACAAATGATGACAAAATGTGGGTAGGGCTCTCTTATGATAGCAAACATAGGTAGAATGAGGATCAAGAAAAATGATATGGGTGATAGGGGTTATAGTTAGAGTGAGGACCAGGAAAAATGATTATGGGTGATAGAGCTTATAGTTAGAGTGAGGGACAGGAAAAATGATTATGGGTGATAGGGCTTAGAGTGAGGGACAGGAAAAATGATTATGGGTGATAGGGCTTAGAGTGAGGGACAGGAAAAATGATTATGGGTGATAGTGCTTATAGTTCGAGTGAGGGACAGGAAAAATGATTATGGGTGATAGGGTTACTGGTGTCCTTGATGGCCTCCTCTCCCATGCATTCATTTCTGGAAACAGCCTTGATCATTTTAACATGTTTTTGAAATAATGATCAGTAATGTTCTGGCAAAACTGTGCATCCTGATTGTTTTGTGCTGTCATAATATTCTGATCAAATGGCCCATTGTTCTATAGAATTATTTTCACTTCAAAATAAAAACTTGCTAAAAGTTTGAAAATGTAGAGAAGTGAAGATGAAACGAGACCAGCACTAGAAAAGTTCTGCTTTAAGATAAAGTACTAGATGATAGTTCTGTTCCTGATTTCATTCTCACTTCAGTAATTTCAAAATCACATTACAGGATGATTAATTTCTCAGCTTCATGAGAAGCACTGACTTCCCTGAGTAGGGATTGATCACACACTTCATTGCAGAAAAATGCAACTGAACTCTATACATTCTTTCATCGCCATCACATCCTCTGTATATACTTCTATCCTGTACCTTAAAGACTACTAAACATTGTCTTCGACAGAAACAGGCAAAAGAATTTGCTGGTTCATGATTCGTACATACATATATATATACACATATTTCAGAAATATGACACCTGTGTTACAATCACAAGTTTTACACTTAATATTTAGACAGAACAAAAATTTAAATTAACATTTAAAAATATTATGTATCCATGGTAGCATGTATTTGCACTTCATTAAATTTTCATCTAAAGGTCTCTCAATCCTTGGAAATATATATTTTTTGTAACATTTCATGGCCAATCAAAATGTTTTATACATAATCAACAGCCAATCAGAATGTTTGATACATAAATGTACATATACATAATCAACAGCCAATCAGAATGTTTGATACATAAATGTACATGTACATAATCAACAGCTAATCAGAATGTTTGATACATAAATGTACATCATCAACAGCCAATCAGAATGTTTGATAAGATTCATAATTATGTACGTCAAAAGCCATATAAAGTTTCTTTTAAACAGGCAACCCTGACACTCAACATAGATATCAACATTGATTGGAAGCCAGTTGTGAATTATGGGACACCTGTCCAGGACCAAAGACTCATTATCATCTTTTAGTACTGCCAGACATTAAGTTCTTCGGAACATTCTGGTATATTTGGTTGGATTCCTCTGGTGTTCTGTAAAGTAAAATAATCCTGATATGAAGAACAAAAACAACTACATGGAAATAGCAGACATCTTTAACAGCCCCATTGTTATGGCAAGACTGAACTGATTGAGATGTTAAAGAAAGGACAAACCTTTCTATAGTTCTTAACATAGGGTACAATAAAACATCTCAGACTTTGATCTTGGGAGCAGAAAACAAATTAATTATGCAGCATATCTCCTAGTGGTAATCAACCATGTAAAGTTTCATTCACTGGTTACAAAGACATTCCATAGTTCAATATAGGGGTCCCATGGAAAATCTCAAATTTGAGAACTTGACCTTTGAATTACAAACAAGAATGTGGCGTATGACACATGTTCTAATTGTCATTAAAAGATATACATGTACAGAGTTTCATATAATTCTCCTATGACTAGTTACACAGTTATGAAGACACGGATATGTTTTACACAGACAGATGCATGAAATTGGACAATAATCACAACAGGGTGCCCACCACTATATCTTAATTACCAAGTTACCATCAAAGAGCATATTTTAACAAGAACTGTGAAAGAAGCTTATCTTTGGCCAAGATACACTTGTTTATGGAAATTATGAATTTTTAAGCTAATAATACTGATAAATGAGCATTTGCTCTCTGATAAAACAGTTGCATCCCTTGTAGAAACAAAGTCCGTTAAAGGTAAATATATATACATATCTACAAGGAATTCCTTCCTCTTCCTGCAGTAGGTGATCATCATTGTATAAAATTACTTTTACAGAGTACCTAATGATTATGTGTATAATTACAAAGTGTGATCACAATTCCTCAATGTATGAAGTTCCCAGAGTATTTTCTAAGGTTGTCACAGTGATTTTATGGAGAAATATTCCATTTCTTTCCGTAAAATGAAGCTGCATGTGTTTAATGCTCCTTGTTACTATTCTTGTTGGTTCTGTTGTTGCATACATTGTTCTCATTTGAGAACATGACATCACTGACTTGAATCGACCAAATTAACATGGCGCGTGTCATCAATGAAGCAAAACAAACCTCCTCTTATTATCTTTGTACTTTTTTTTTCAGAAATCTCCCAAGTAAATCTGTCTTGTGTTCATATTTTGCCCTAGTTTTATTGAATCTGAGTTTTGATTATGATAATGTTGATATCTTTTACTTGTTTTTGAGTTTTTACCACTATAGGATCGAGTATATCTATATCCTACCAGATAGATATATTGATAAATAGGATATTGCTAGACAATCTTACTTGGGTAGTTCCTTCTTGCGTGTCGGTTGCTGAGGAGCTGGTTGTGGACGGGGCTGTACTCGAGTGCCCTCTGTGTACTGTATGTTGGTGTACTCTCGTCCAATGCTTTGCTGAATTGCAATGTTATCAGTGAAATTATCATAAAAACAAGCCATTCCAAACAACATTAATCTCGTTTTGGGTCAAATCTGACTGACATGCAATGCAAAATCATCATTAGTGTTTGAGGTCTGACCGAAATCTGTAACGGAGTGAACCTACTTCAGCGTTGGCAGTAACAGAAACATAGACAATGACCATGCAAGCCTGATGCTTATATTGTTTGAGATATCAACGTCCTCTATAAGAAGCTGAAGTTTGGTCAAAATCCCATGAGGATCAAAGCCAGTAAGATTTTATAAAATCTTTAACAGTGACCTAGATATCTTGACAACTTGAATTCATGCGAGTTCTGATCCTTTTTAAGTATGTTAAGTTTGATCACAATTCCTCAAGGTATTAAGGTCCAAATGCATTCCGGTTTTTTTTTTTTTTTGGGGGGGTGGGAAGGGGGGGGGGGTTGGGGGGGAGGGTTATGGGGTGCTATGTGAGTACATAAATGAGAACAGTGATAAATAATTTCAATTTGTAATAAAACAGTGATAAATAATTTCAATTTGTAATAAAACAGTGATAAAGCATTTCAATTTGTAGTAGAACAGTGATAATTCATTTAAATTTATGATATTCAAATGCCTCATGACTGAGAAAAATTAATCCAAGATTACTGATAGTACAGACAGCAATGTAGATTGAAAACTATCAGGATCAAGGAGAAAAAGAAATCATATGATTAGGAGTTTTAAGGAATACTTCTCAAATTGACCCCTAGCCCTAGAGTAATGAGAAATGATTCTGAATTAGTAATGATACAACAGTCTAGAGCAGGGTTAACATATCAGTTTTAACAATTTCCTGTCACTGACTAACAGTGACCTACAATACCGATGACTTACTTCTTCAGCTCGCTTGCGTTGTTTCTCCGTCTCTAGATAGTGTAAGACTGCCATGTAAACAAACTTGTACTGGGCCTCTGTCTGAACCATTCCTGACCTTTGTGACCTCACCATCTGTATTGTCTTCTGAATATCTATCTCACATTCTAGACCTACATTCACAATTAAATGTAAATAAACCTCAAAAACCAGCAAAATCATATCATGCTGAATTTACATATCAAAACCAAAATTTTAAATAATAGCAAAAAAATGTTCAACAACGAGCAAGTACAATTTGTTTAGTTCACGACAAAAATATATCAAATTTTCTAGAAATGCTCATTTTCAATTACATTCATACAAGCACTGCTGTAGACTCTATGTTTCAACATCTCCGATTCTTGTTTTCAACAAAAGAAATCAGCTTCTGATATGATGATTTTTTGGCAGATATGAAATGAACCTAAAAGTTTGACGTCATTAGCTTTATTATTGTATGAACTGTTGTGAGTAGTGTTTGTCTTAGTCTTTGTGGCACAAAGATATAATAACCATGGTTATCAACAGTTGCCCATTCCAGTTTACACGGAGATCATTATGGTGAACAGTAACATACTGTTATAGTTAAGTACATATAAAACAAACACACTGTCTTCCTTTGGAAAGTCTAGATTTAAATACTTACCAAATGTTTTGATTTGATTGATAATTATGTCAATTACTATAAACGTCCCTGTTCTTCCAATACCAGCACTGAAATAAAGACAAAGGAATCCATGTGAAATTTCTGAAAAACCAGTCAAGCACTTTTTTGAGAAATGGGCTGCTTTCAGGTAATCTAGTTGAATAGGTTCTGATGGCACAGAAATATTCTATAATAAACAAACACACCTGAGCCTGATGTTGGAAATGTTAAATGTACAGATCAAAATGAACAGTTTTGGAAATTTCCTGTCATCTCATATTTATTTAAATAACATTTCCGTAAATGTGCCTGCACTAACAATGCTTTATTCAGAAATGAATGAAACAATTGACATTTAGCCTCTTAGTTACGGACACCTATGGCTCAAATTGCATGTGCCACAGTCCAGCCCCAGTCTTAATGTGTGCTTAGTGTTTTTCTTGCAGGTTTAGCCAGTCCAACCATTACAAAAACATACACAAATGCAACCTTTGTAATAGCTTATTTTGACTATGAGGAATGACATGAATGTCTGAATATCATCTGAAAGTGAGTTGATAAGAAAACAACCACAAACATGCGGGCCATGGCCCTTAACTGTCATCTGACAATCGATGAATGGATGAACAAACCACAGAATTCACTGATGGTGGCCTGACAAATCTGACAATTCCTTGAAAGTATCAGAAATTTATAAATGCTAGATTCTGTTCAAGAAAACCAGTTGTACAATCATTGCACAATCATATTACAAGTCAACTACTGTGGTTACCATGTTGAAGTTTTGTTCAGACTGAAAAATAACAAATCAGCTCTTTCTTTTCCTTAAAAATTCAAACTCAAAATATTTTTCTCATTGGGGTGAATGAAACATGAGAAATAGTTCAGATCGTTTGTTCTAGATGAGATTTGTTGGATTTTGGACAAAAGCGTAAAAAAAGATTTGGTCAGGACAGTCTCAGGATCACTTTATGCATGTTTGATATCATTGCTACTCCTTATAATGTTTCAGGCCGAATTTGGTTGGAATCTACAAATGCATTATGAAGAACTAGCTTTTTGCAGCAATTATTTTCTAACTTCACCTTTTGGAGACCTGCCCGTTTGTCCTTATGGAATGAATCAACTTTCTGAATTAAGAAATAATTCTCCATCCACAATGATGTTTGGTACCACATTTGGTTTAAATCTATTAGAGCTTTAAGGAAGAGTAGTGTTCTGAAGCAAAATTATTGACATATTTTCCCATGTGGGGGCCCTGCCCATACCTAGGGGTCACATCAACTTTCTGAATTCAAGATATGATTTCTCAATCTCAATGATGTTTCAAACTAAATTTGGTTGAAATTCATTCAAATTAAGGAAGAGTGATATTTCAAAACTAATTTTCCCATTTAGGGCCCCGCCTACCCCCACATCCCTAGGGGTTGAATCAACTTTCTGAACTAAAAAAATGATAAGCTACTTGCAATTATGTTTCAAACCAACTCTGGTTGAAATCTACACAGGCTTTAAGAAGGAGTAGCCTTCTGAAGCAAAGTATTGTCTAACTTCCACTTTTGGGACTTTGCCCCAAGTCCCTAGGGGTTGAATCAAATTTCAGAATTTAAGAAATGATCCTCTTTTCCTAATGGTGTTTCCGACCAAATCTGGTTGAAATCCACCATGGCGTTAAGCAGAAGAATTAAAGGAGAAGTTTACTGATGGCGAATGGCAAAAGGCACATGACGATGGATGATGCATGCTTGCAATAGCTTATCTTGACACCCTGGGTGAGTTGACTTAAGAATTAAAAACTACTATATATTGTTTTGGAGAAAAAGGTTTTTAACTACCTGCAATGAACTATAATAGGGCCAGCCTTGGGTATAGATTCCTGTTTAGCATTCACAATGTTGAGGAAGTTGAGGACACTGCCTGGGTCGGAGGGCACACCATAATCAGGCCAGGTCAGGAAATGGAACTGGAAGATACTTCTTGGTCCTTCTGTTGACTGTAACACAAGTAACATTAAATACACCCCAAACTTTATTAGTCACCACAGGTTCAACTTTAAGAGTTTGTGGTTATTTCATAAATATATTGGCATATCATCCAAATTTAGTCACAAATGTTATCTTATAAATATATTGGCATATCATCCAAATTTAGTCACAGACAAGAAAGAATGCATGATCAGTGTAGAATTTGTCTTTCTGTCCCGATATAACAGTTTTTTTTCTGTCACTGCCGGAGACAGTAAAAATACATGTGGCAAGTGTATTATAATAATGGAAGCACCATATAATAGATAATCATCTATGTTGTCCTATTTATTCAAACTTATCATAATGTTAAGTCTATAGGTCATTTAATACTTTTTAGGATAATTTAATACTAACCTTGTCTTTCGACACTTCAAATTCTCGAATTATAAAATCACTTTCATTTTTTTGACAGATGTGTTTCACTGTTATTTTTCCCTGGTAGGTATCAAATGTTCGCTCTAAAATATCATCTGGATCTTCGGGGCAGGGCCAGTATCGACACGCCTTGACCTATACAAGGAAAACAAAACTATCTCAAAACTTTACTGAAAAAAAAAAGAGTTTAACATTGAGAAAAAAACTCATTTTAACATGTCTGAGAAAAAATGCTGAATATTTGTGTGTGTATTAGTCAAACAATGCAAACCACTGCACCTATAACACTCAACTTGTGACAACAACTATGTCATGACATTCTCCAAAGACACAATTATAACTATTTGGTAGTGACCAAAACCCTTTCTTATTACAGGTGCCATACAGATGACTATAGTTCAATCCATTACGTCACCAGAACATGGATGTTTGGATTAATTCTGCGTAGATCCACAGAAATATCACTTTAATTTCAAACAGAATTTTCATTTCACACTGATTTTTACATACATCCGATAACTTTAACCTCTTAACAAATCCAACCAAAGGATACCATTTAATGACAAAAGCAAAAACAATACATTTTTGTGTTGTACAAAAACTTTGTTAATTCTGGATTTTAAAGAGGCATAACTCTTACCTTTCCCCGCTCCACCTCTTTTGTTGTCATTACAATAACACGAGAATTTTCTTGCCATGTCATCCTCCAGAAATCCCCAACTGTGGTGGGCATACAGCCCTGTGTGGCAATGTAACATTTCTTTGGCTCCATACTGTCATCCTCTGTCTGCAACAAACATTTTATACAGCTTGACCAAAAACTTCCTCACTACCATAGAAAAGTGGCAGGGAATGTTTCAGGGACACAACACCAGATAGAGGCAGACAATATCTTAATAGGGATTAAATAATTTAACTATTTATAGCATAGGATAGCCATCCATATCTAAATTGGAGAAACTTTGAAATGAAATATTGAACAAAGCTCTCTGTCTCTGTTGACATCAGGGTATAAGACGTCATTTTTATCATTTGATGACAATACATACACTTGGCCATAAAATAGGAACCATTAATTTCAGTATGCAAATTGCAATAAAAAATGATTTTCTGTCTTTTTTGAAAATAACCCTTGTCATACTCTTAGCAGTGTCTTTTATGTGTTTGATGCCAGATGCCACTAGGCATCTTCCAAACTTAAGATTAACCCAGATTAAACTGGTGTAACCAGTAGTCTAATAAACACAAGTTTGTCTTTCCGCTTAAAGCAGTGTTTGCATGTGTAACTCAGTAATCATACATTTGCTGATACTACATCAAACACATGTTCATACTGTATTCGGTAATGTCATGTTGAAAATGGACAAGTGTTGAAAAATTGCAAGCTCTTGGAATGTTCAATTTGTTAGATATACAGAAAGAAGTTGTAGTAGATGTTAATTAGTAATGTCAGCTTGTCTTTTACTTCTTAGTCAATGAGGGGGGTGCATCTGTCAATAAGAGAGAGTTAATGTCAAACATTTTTCAGGACTTTGGGTATGCCTTTTTGAGCACATCATTGAAAATGATACAGCATTCCTGGTTCTGTAAATTTCTTTTCCATTTAAGTCTGTTTAGTTTTGTTAGATGCCTGAAAAACACATTCCTACCCGCCCTGTGGAGATGTCACTGAATATTTTTCTTGATTACAGCGAACAAAATTCAGCCCAATATAAGATATGTGTGGTCCCTAACTTATGGCCAAGCCTTCATAAGATAAATCCTACTCAGTCAATACACATCATATATTTTACATACACTAATGCTACTGACCTAATTCAAAAGATTTATTTCTAGATTTCAAAATCAGGAATTATTGTAAGATTTTTATCTCGTTTTAACAACGTGTGATTGTAGATCCAAGAATGAGTTATTTCCCTGACTTACCGTGATATGATTGGCATTGATGTAGTCGGAGCCCACCACATTTGGGTCACCGTCTCGCAGCACCACCCGTGTATGATCAACTACAATCAAACATCAGTATAAACAGATTAACCATTGACAAATCATCCAAATTACAAATATCCTACCATTCTGACAGGTAATTTAACCATATTCTAAAATCAATATTAACAGCAAATTTATTAATTTTTTCTGTTAAACAAATACTAATATTTATGTATAAGTAAAATATTATATTTCAAGATTTATACAAATCTAAACTAACTTTTGGCACTTACAATTTCAAAATCACACACAAATGAATTTTTCAGAAATATTGTGGCTATCAGCTTAAGAAGAATGTTTTGGTAAGGAAAGGGGCTTCGATATTGTTAAAATGGAAATGCAGGTACTAGGTATTATGATTTAGATCAATACTATGTATGTACCACGTCTTAGATGCATTTTTCTTCTTCTTGTACCAGCATCTTAAAACTTGTGATATGCATGGACATGTACAGCAGCTTACCATTAAAAAGATATGACATGTTTAGCAAACCTACATGGAAGTATATTCTTGTATCGATTACGGGACTTGTTCTCCGGTCTCTGGCCTTCCTTCCTGCTGTACAAATGCCTCACTTCCATTTGTTGTAGTTGCTATGGAAATAAAGATGAATAAATAATAGCAGAACAATTATATCAAACTAAAAAGAATTAAAACACTTTAGAAGACACTGTATTTATCTTCAATTATTTCTATTATTTCAAAACAAAATAGAAAAAAAATTACCAGTGTTATTTATTGATACAATATAGTCAAAACTTCATGAAATATCAAAATTTTTGATTCTATCACTTTTGGACTAAGTGATTTATGGATCTATTTCCCAACTACAGTTTAATGTTTTACTCCTATACATATTTATCACTTCAGAAAAGAAGCAACAGGTCATTTTATCAAAATAGGTTGGAACAATAATGACTGCTGATGGAAGATATGTAATGAGATGCTGGTTTTTTTTCATAACCACATACCATTTCAATAACATAGAAAACAACACGGAATCTAGGCAAAGAGACTCACATGTTTGTAATTATGCAGGAGAGTAGGAAATTAAATTCAAACAAGTGGAAATGAAAATTGAAAATGAAATGAAATAAGAAATGTAAACTGAAGACAAATCCTTTCTATACATACCTCAAACTCATCCCAGAAACCCCCTTTTGTATTTCCAACAGTGTTTTGGTCCTTTGTCTGTTTTTCCTTTTCCAATTGTTTAACACGGTTTTCCAATCCAGACGCAGGAATCCTAGTGGCATTAAATGGCTATAAAACAACAAAGAACATATATGAATACAGTACACTTATGTTGATTTTAAGAAATAACAAGAGGCCCAATGGGTCTGCAGGGTTTATCTGGTATATATATATACACCATCCAAATAGCATGGCTCTAGGCAATTTAGTTTATGAGAAGAAGTCATTTAAAGTCATTTAAAGGTTTTAACAAATCTGACCCCTGTGACCTTGAATATCAGTCAAGGTAATTCATTTTCACAAAATTTACTATGGCTTCATTAATTAATTAATTAATAACATCAATTAAAAGGGTTGATGGATAGTTAGTAGTAAGGAAAATTGCAGATATATGTACCCAACAAAACATACAAGTATATGAGTAAGTGGGTCTAAAAGTATATCTCTGTGATAGATAGCTACAGCATACATGGAAATGTTGTAAATCAAAACATAGGACTTTTCAGAGAAACAAGCTGATAAGGACAATAAGAGAGTGTCATTATCATGACCTCATTTGAAAAATGTTCCTTATGTGATATGAAAAAGGAGGAATTTGCTGCTCATATATAACTTTTATTTTGACATACAAGGTATACATGGAGGGCGTTGTTGATGAAGTAGAAAAAAGCTTGCAATCCCAGAACACCTGGTCTTAACTTTCCCTGTACTTTCTCAAGGATCTCTATTTTGATCTGATCTTTCCTGATATTTTTGTCCTAGTTTTGTTGATTTTTAGTTTGAATCACAATTTTTTTCATTACAACTTGACTCAAAGTAAGTTCATGCAGACTCACCAATTTCAGGTATACAACTGTGCCTGATTTTTCCACCATTGGGTTCTTTCTGTAGTGTTCTACTAAATCTGACAAGCTTGGAAACTTCTCACCACCACCAACATCATAGGTTGTGTCCTGTGAAAACAAAATGTAATTAGTCATCATTAATCTATCTCTCCAAGTTAAACCTTCATAGAAACAGACTTCATCGATTCAAATTCACATTCATATAAGTGATACCTTAAAAGACCATATGTCTAAACTTTCTAACCAAATCACCCCATCACACAATAAACAGGTGGTAGATCATTCTTATTGACCAATCAACTTGCTGTTTTGACCCACTTAAAGCCGAAACACGTAAAAACTTGTAAATGAAGCTGAAAAACCATACTGAACTGATGATAACCTGATTTGTTAAAGTCTACTTAAAGTATCTGTATCAAAAGTATTGCCTACACTACTGGTAAAGTAGTTAAACCACAATATGTATTATACAATATCAGAATACTGTAATGAACATTAAGTCTCAAACATAAACAAAACATAAAAAAATAGAATTTGTATAAGGATAGCCACCACATTGACCTACCTCTTCATGGAAGCAGATCATGACATGTGTGATACGATCATCGCAGCGGACGGAGAGAACGAAGTCACCGGGCTTGCTTTGACTCTCCCTTACCAGGTAGCTATTGTTCTTACCCTTCTCTAGCAGCACTTTCTCAGCCTCCTTACCAGACAGGTGGCCATGAAACCATCTAAATAAAAAATTACCACACTCTGTCATATACTATATATTCTTACTGTTAGACTTATAAGGACAAACAGATGGACAAACTGATTACTATAGGGCACACGCATCTCTATGTGGGGCCCTAATTATTTCCAACATATACGGAAAATAATGATTCAGGCAAGACTGACTAGAAAGATCAGAGAGCCAGAGAAAGTGGCCTTTTTAGGCAGGTGAACTTTATATATAGAAGTTCATTAACTATACTTTGTATAACACTGAGAAACCGAAACCAGTGTCTTTTATGGAGATGTATTTGTTATGTAGAAATAAAGTTTATAGACAATTGTTATATAGAGGAAGCCTTTACAGACTGGTATCTGTTAAAGAAGTGAATTACACACAGGTATATGTTAAATAGAGGTGATCTGTATAGACATGTATTTGCTATATAGAATCAGCCTTTACAGACAGATATTTGGTGTATAGAAATGACATTTACAGACAGATATTTGGTGTGTAGAAATGACATTTACAGACAGATATTTGGTGTATAGAAATGACATTTACAGACAGATATTTGGTGTGTAGAAATGACATTTACAGACAGATATTTGGTGTATAGAAATGACATTTACAGACAGGTATTTGGTATATAGAAGATATTTGATAGAATGACCTTTACAGACAGATATTACAGACAGGTATTTGCTATTAGAATGACATTTACAGACAGATATTTGGTGTATAGAAATGACATTTACAGACAGATATTTGGTGTATAGAAATGACATTTACAGACAGATATTTGGTGTATAGAAATGACATTTACAGACAGGTATTTGCTATATAGAATCAACCTTTACAGACAGATATTTGGTGTATAGAATCAACATTTACAGACAGATATTTGGTGTATAGAAGAGGCATTTACAGACAGATATTTGGTGTATAGAAATGACATTTACAGACAGGTATTTGGTGTATAGAAATGGCATTGATAGACAGATATTTGGTGTATAGAAATATTTGGTGTGTAGAAATGACATTTACAGACAGATATTTGGTGTATAGAAGTGGCATTTACAGACAGATATTTGGTGTATAGAAATGACATTTACAGACAGATATTTGGTGTATAGAAGTGGCATTTACAGACAGGTATTTGGTGTATAGAAGTGGCATTTACAGACAGATATTTGGTGTATAGAAATGGCATTTACAGACAGATATTTGGTGTATAGAAATGACATTTATAGACAGATATTTGGTGTATAGAAATGACATTTACAGACAGGTATTTGGTGTATAGAAATGACATTTACAGACAGATATTTGGTGTATAGAAATGACATTTACAGACAGATATTTGGTGTATAGAAATGACATTTACAGACAGATATTTGGTGTATAGAAGTGACATTTACAGACAGATATTTGGTGTATAGAATGACATTTACAGACAGATATTTGGTGTATTTGGTGTATAGAAATGACATTTACAGACAGATATTTGGTGTATAGAAATGACATTTACAGACAGATATTTGGTGTATAGAAATGACATTTACAGACAGATATTGGTATATAGAAATGACATTTACAGACAGATATTTGGTGTATAGAAATGACATTTACAGACAGGTATATTAGAATGGTGTGTATAGAAATGACATTTACAGACAGATATTTGGTGTATAGAAATGGCATTTACAGAAGATGGTGTATAGAAATGACATTTATAGACAGATATTTGGTGTATAGAAATGACATTTACAGACAGGTATTTGGTGTATAGAAATGACATTTACAGACAGGTATTTGGTGTATAGAAATGACATTTACAGACAGGTATTTGGTGTATAGAAATGACATTTATAGACAGATATTTGGTGTATAGAAGTGGCATTTACAGACAGATATTTGGTGTATAGAAGTGGCATTTACAGACAGGTATTTGGTGTATAGAAGTGGCATTTACAGACAGATATTTGGTGTATATATTTGGTGTATAGAAATGACATTTACAGACAGGTATTTGCTATATAGAATCAACCTTTACAGACAGATATTTGGTGTATAAAAATGACATTTACTGACAGGTATTTGCTATATAGAACTGACCTCTACAGACAGGTATTTGGTGTATAGAAATGACATTTACAGACAGGTATTTGGTGTATAGAAATGACATTTACAGACAGGTATTTGGTGTATAGAAATGACATTTATAGACAGATATTTGGTGTGTAGAAATGACATTTACAGACAGATATTTGGTGTATAGAAGTGGCATTTACAGACAGATATTTGGTGTATAGAAAAGACATTTACAGACAGATATTTGCTATATAGAATTGACCTTGAGAATTGATGTTGTGATATAATTATCACTGCATGCTTCTTTCTTTTCCACTTCCTTTTTAACTTTTTAAACACAAGCATATTTCTGTGGATTTTAATGTAAAGTTTTACCAAAATGAAGAAAAAATGAGGAAAACTTTCCAAAACAATGTTTTTTGAAAATGTTTGCTTATTCAAACATAAACAGGATGCACATGGGATATATTTCATATACCAGGAAAAAAACCCATTGTTTTTTGCCTTCTTTTAGGAACCATCAACAAAGGAAGTTAATGGGACTGATAAAAAAACACCAAATAAGGAATCACTGAACTGACCATGAATATTTTTTGAGTACTGATAGTATGTGTACTGATAAGAATAGAAATCATCCTGTATATATTTTGTGTAAATGACACGAGACCTTTCTGTGGTTGGGTCCTCGGAGTTAAGAGGATACTTGAGCTCTATGACGACTCCGTTGCGTTCTTTGAGTTGACCTTGATTCTCCATGTAGTACTGCACCAGTTCAGCCAAGGTGGCAAACTTTTCACCACCGTACAAGTCATAGAACTCTCCATTGTTCTGAATCTTAATGTGTGTCACCTCTTTATTACGTCTGCAAAAATCAATTCATCTTGTAAGTTAGGATTAATTCATATCAATACGAGACAGAGGAGAATAAAATTCCAGCATTGAAACAAGTTTCTAATACTTTTTCTTGTAGTACTTCAGATATATATCCTGAAAAATTTTGAAAGGCTGTTTGTCTAAAAACTAACATACTAGTTTTCTTCAGTATTTTCTTAGACATGGCTCTGTTCATACACATTTCAAGCATTTTACATCTGATAAAAAGAGGATTTCCATGGTCTAAAGGTTGATAGACTATATTTAACTTAAGCTAGGACAGACAACTGAAGTTTTCACATTGAAAAGTATGGAATATCATAATGTCATCAGTTTATGTATTGTAAACCACTTTATTATGACGTGGAGGGCATTGGTTCTGACAAACATTGCATGGGCAATTGATAAATGCCATATATATATATATATAAAATAACAACATTCAATTTGTTACAAGTTTATTAACATTTTGTAAGTGTATAAATAAATAATCAAACATGGGTATGTTCTGTCGACAGATATCCCTACATCCAGGTAAGAGTTTGACAACTACAAGAAAAGCTTCATTGTTAACTCTTACACTTGGGATTAAGATATTCCACAGCACATCCCAATGTGAGATTCTATTTATCATCAAAATGGATCCTTCTGTTTTCACTAAGAGATAATACCTGGCTGCTGGATCAAAAGGTTTCACAGATATAGGTTTATCTAGATCAGCTTTGCAGTTTATTTTGACTCTAATAAATTTTAATGTCCTATGACTACCTGTATCCAGACAATTGTGTATGAAAGAGAAACTGCAGGCAGGAGATATACAAATCTAAGAAATTACAATATGATCAAGTGGATATGAAGCTTTGCCCACGATAACATAGAACACTTGACCTATATAATACACATTAAATACCCAGAAGTCTCAGAAGTATCACCAATTCTGTGAAAAAACCTAAAACAGAAAGTCAGGATTTAATCATGTACCTTGTACATCCCAGTACATAAGCATCCACTTATGTACATTGCAGTATGTTGTTAATGTGCATTCAGAATCCTGGCACTCTAATGTTAACAAGAAATTACCGTATGATCAAGTGCAAATGAAGCTTTGCCCACGATAACATAGAACACTTGACCTATATAATACACATTAAAAACCCCTGAGTCTCAGAAGTATCACCTATTCTGTGAAAAAACCTAAAACGGAAAGTCAGGATTTAATCATGTACCTTGTACATCCCAGTACATAAGCATCCACTTATGTACATTGCAGTATGTTGTTAATGTGCATTCAGAATCCTGGCACTCTAATGTTAACAAAAAATTACCGTATGATCAAGTGCAAATGAAGCTTTGCCCACGATAACATAGAACACTTGACCTATATAATACACATTAAAAACCCCTGAGTCTCAGAAGTATCACCTATTCAGTGAAAAAACCTAAAACAGAAAGTCAGGTACTTATGTACATTGCAGTATGTTGTTAATATGCATTCAGAATCCTGGATATAGATCAATTAAATATGAGAGTAGTTTTATTTATAGCAATCATGAACCAGTCAATAATCAGGTTCAATTTATTACAATGGTGTTTATTGGTCAGAGTTTTGTTTTCCATGTTGGTGGGAATTTTAACAGGAAATTTGACGATGTGTCACCATAAGCTCTGAATGTGATTTACAGTTGGTCTATTATACTGTATTAATGTGAATATAAGGTGAATGAAAGTCTAAATTTACTTTGTTCCATTTCTAAGAAAATATAATTTTGAATGAAATGAAAGCATTATCTGGATGTCTAAAACAGAGCTTCAAACATACATGGTCTTATTTCTCAACCAAATCAATAGAAAAAGGCCTTTTGTGGAGGACCATGGAATACTCTGACATATACCATAGTCTACACCTCAGACCTACACAATGGCTCTCAAGCTCCCAGTCTATAATTTTCATTTGGATTAATTTAATCTTTTCTACATTCAAATATAGATAGATTTAAGCCAATTTGGTATAACAATATTGTTTCTTTGATTTTTCTGTTGTTTCATATATATCAAGTGTATCACCTGATGAACAATGGCAGTTGATTTTCACTGAGTATACACATGAAAAGGTCAATCAATAATTATAGAAATTATTAATTATAGAAATTATTAATTATAAAAAGAGAATCCTTATCTGTTCATCTGGATATGTAAATTTTGGCACCATATATAATAACGCATGTACACAAAACATCATCGCCTATACACAAAAATGGCTTCACTCATATATTGTTAGTCTATTGTATTAAATAATTCATATTTCTTAATTGATTTAGGATTTTCAAATAACATTTGCCACGCTCATAACAAAATTCCGTGTTGAAAAACAGGATTTTACTGACTGTGTCACTATTAATGCAGTCATTTCTGCTCACAAATCATGTGCTTGTCTTTACAAACTGACCTGCCTCATTTTCCAAACCAGTGTGAAACATTATCAGCATAGAAGTGGTCATGCTGGACAATGGAAATTACTGTGAATATTGGGATAGCATAGAAATGTAACAGGCAGTAACGGGTATATAGATCATGTACAATCAATAACAAATGTTTTTACCTTGATGTCCCTCTATTTGAACGGTTGTACATAAATGACTATTATCAGAAAATGTGCTGATTATTTCCCTGTATGTTAGGATACCTGTGTAATATCTAAAAAAGATGGTTGACCCAGAAACAAAACCGATACAAACCTGACAGACAAGGTAAAGTCTCCCATAGTACTACTACTGTGTCGGGCCAGGAAGCTTCCATCATATCCACGATCCTTGAGCAGTTCTTCAGCCTTCAATCCAGAAATGTGTGGATGGAACCATCTGTAAACACAAGCACACCATCAATGTACAGACTGCAAGAGAATGATATTGTCTGCATACTTACTGTCCTAAATGTAGAGGTCTGTGTTGAGAAATTACACTAGGATATTAACCACAGGCTGATACCTGAGGGTGAAAAAATATTACAGTATTTCAACCTGTTATAAATCAGGAGATCTATAAATATAACACTTGAGGTGCCAGACCAACACCACATACAGAACAATATTACAGTAACAGGTGATGTAAGGAGATATAACACTTGTGATGTTTCTAAGAATATATAGCACCTGTATAGCTAGATCTACATTACAGATGATGTCAGGTGATTTAAAACTTGTGATGTTTCTAAGAATATATAATACCTGTACAGCTCCATCAACATTACAGATGATGTCAGGAGATCTAACACTTGTGATGTTTCTAAGAATATATAACACCTGTACAGCTGCATCAACATTACAGGTGATGTCAGGAGATTTAAAACTTGTGATGTTTCTAAGAATATATAACACCTGTACAGCTGCATCAACATTACAGGTGATGTCAGGTGATTTAAAACTTGTGATGTTTCTAAGAATATATAACACCTGTACAGCTGCATCAACATTACAGGTGATGTCATCTCTCAGGAGATCAAACACTTGTGATGTTTCTAAGAATATATACAGCTGCATCAACATTACAGGTGATGTCATCTCTCAGGAGATCAAACACTTGTGATGTTTCTAAGAATATATACGGTAACACCTGTACAGCTGTATCAACATTACAGGAGATGTCATCTCTCAGGAGATCTAACACTTGTGATGTTTTTAAGAACATATAACACCTGTATAGCTCCATCAACATTACAGGTGATGTCAGGAGATCTAACACTTGTGATGTTTCTAAGAATATATAACACCTGTACAGCTGCATCAACATTACAAGTGATGTCATCTCTCAGGAGATGTTAAATATATACTAACACCTGTGCTGTATGTTTCTCTCAGGAGATCTAACACTTGTGATGTTTTTATATATAACACCTGTATAGCTCCATCAGCATTACAGGTGATGTCAGGAGATCTAACACTTGTGATGTTTCTAAGAATATATAACACCTGTATAGCTCCATCAGCATTACAGGTGGTGATGTCAGGATGTATAGCTCCATCAACATTACAGGAGATCTAACACTTGTGATGTTTCTAAGAATATATAACACCTGTATAGCTCCATCAGCATTACAGGTGATGTCAGGAGATCTAACACTTGTGATGTTTCTAAGAATATATAACACCTGTATAGCTCCATCAACATTACAGGTGATGTCAGGAGATCTAACACTTGTGATGTTTCTAAGAATATATAACACCTGTATAGCTCCATCAACATTACAGGTGATGTCAGGAGATCTAACACTTGTGATGTTTCTAAGAATATATAACACCTGTATAGCGCCATCAACATTACAGGTGATGTCAGGAGATCTAACACTTGTGATGTTTCTAAGAATATATAACACCTGTATAGCTCCATCAGCATTACAGGTGATGTCAGGAGATCTAACACTTGTGATGTTTTTAAGAACATATAACACCTGTATAGCTCCATCAACATTACAGGTGATGTCAGGAGATCTAACACTTGTGATGTTTCTAAGAATATATAACACCTGTATAGCTAGCTCCATCAACATTACAGGTGATGTCAGGAGATCTAACACTTGAAGCATCTTTTTCAGTATATTTTCTTCAGGTTGGTAATGTCAATAGAATAAACATGTTTATAACACAACTAATAATAGATTTTACTAAAGCGATGACTACTAGGTCGCCTTCCTCAGACAAATGTAAAGTGTACTATAACTGAATCAACCACTCTGTTTTACCTTAGGGAATATAGAATTATAGAACAGTCTATGTATACCTGTGCATAATCCCTGTCTGATTAAATACATAAGTAGGTCTTTTGATAATTTCAAAGTAGTCGTTTGAGTCATTTGACCACTTTGACCTTAACTGTAAGTCAAGGTCATTCATTTGAACAACCTTGATTGTCCCTCATCCCAGCATGCTCGTGGCCAAATAAAAAATGTAAACAAATAACCTGCATGCATTCTGTAAAATCAAACAATATTATTATATAAATGGTTTTCTTTAGAAAAATGCGAATTGTATTATTTCAGTTTTGAAAACCATGTGCACAGTATCAGTACTGATGTACAGCAAATAAGATCCTACATTTTTACATGATAACTTATTTTTATATGTTTCATCAACTGTGACTTAAGTGACAAAGAAATGATAACTCTGGAAACTTCATTTTCTTTCATTCTTGTAAAATTGATGTAGATCACATCAGTAAGAAAACAACTGATGTTTTCTTTGCTTTTTTATGAAATTAATTACATGTAGTGAGTCCTTCTTATAATCTTTGTACATGTTGTATCTTATAGATAAATATTTTCAATTACATGTGACTTAAAAACTATCAAAATTAATATTAATTACTGTACACTAATATTATTTTTTAAACTGTCACTATATAGAATATCACTTTTTGGATACAGGATATTCATTTCCAATCTGTTCAATAAGAAAACTGTACTATTTGTGCATTTTAAAGCTTGATTGATAGCAGAAAAAGTATAGCACTAATATGTGTGATGTTAGTTGTTATAACACAATCAACAGCTTTTACATGCATGTTATTAAATATGTTAGTTAAAAGGAGTGTATTTACCACAGTTGTTATAGAATCTGACAAGATATTGGACAGTTCTAATTATAAAGCCAGCCGTAAAAAAGCAGAGCAAAAACATGCAAAAAGCTACATGTTGAATATAGGATACATGTATATGCCAATGTACATTCTTCCTGTGTATAAGCAAGCAGCTAAGGTACAAATCTTCACCTATATTTACACACTTCAATGCTGTCTAAACCCATGTGTATATACTAGGCATATATTGACAAAGTGTTATCAGTGACTTTTCAAAGACCCACCCTGCAGAACAAATGATTATAAAGAGTACCTATAGATCTTCCTGGTCTGTAATACACTATGAATGCACCATTATTTTTATGTGCCCTTGTCCACTGAAAGGCCACCAGGCCGTAATAGTGGACAAAAAACTTGTTAAAATCAATAAACAAGATGTGCCATATCAAAACCATAGCATATTGTATGTCAAGATTTGTGGGGAGATATCACTAACATGAATTCTCAAACTTTTCTTGCAGGTCTCAATCAACTCTTATTCTGAAAAAATCATTCATCTCTCTTCAAATTTCTTCATTTTGAAAAGGCATTTTGAACTTATCTGAAAAAGAAATTACTGACATGTCAATCCAATAGAATTGTTTCTTTCTCATTTTTCTACATTAACTGGAGAATGCATGTGACATGGTTTCCAGTATGTATTCCATATATATCAGCCCTGAACTATTCATATCCCTTAAAGAGCTAGAAACAGAATAAATGTTCCCAGATAAAATTATTCAGAGTCAATAAATACATGTGTATCTGAATGTAGAATAAGACCAGCTTCTATTATCTCATGGTACAGTATAAAAACAGTTAGCATTAATAATTTAATTTTGTCCCCAAGTCTGACTGAAATGTTAAAACATTTCTGCCTCTCCCTCTCTAAAATTTATAAGATAAAGTTAATCTTTGGTAATAACAACGCTCTTACTTTTACTTTGCAAGAAATTCAGTGAAACATAAGTTCTCCTTCATGTTCAATGATACAAATGACAATATAAAAAAAAACAACAAATAAACAAACAAAAATTTCCACATAAAATTCCTGGTTAGATGAGCGTATGACATGCTCTAGATAATGGAGGGTATATTTATTGAAGAAGTTCAATGGAATTCCAGTCAATTTGAAAATTATTAGACTTTTTGCCAATTCTTGAGATTTACAAAATTTTCATGTACATTTCAATATTGAATTGAAGCACTCACAATTTTATAAATTTTGTTTTGTCCTGGTTTCAGGCGTACACTCTATAATCATATACTAAATAAAAGATACAATAAACTGCCCCAAAAACAGATCAATATCTCCTGTTTGTTACATGCCAGTAAGTTAATCTTATTGTATCATTTCAATAGTGCTGTCTTGAAAAAAAGAATCATATTTGACAACATAACAGATGATACTGATACCATAAACTTGCGTTGTGTAGAAAGTATTGTTACCTATTCTGGTAAGGGAGTCTATCCTCTTCTCCCGATCCTTTTTTTGGTACTGGTATTACCTTCTCTCTAGGCTGTGGCACTTTGGGCCCGTGACTTGGAGGTTTAGGTTTGTTTGATGGCGAAGGTCCATTTTTTGATCCGTTTTTAGATCTATCCACCTTTTCGGTATTAGCCATTGTAAATTAAGTCCACAAGGTGACTGTCCACTCATTTATATAGGGATACTTATATATACTGGCTATTAACCATATAACATAGAACTAAGGTACATACTGCAATCACACATGTACACAATCTGGTCATAAAAGTTTGTCACAGTTTCTCATACATAAAATCTTCTGGCATATACATTGTCCTCTATCCAAAAAATCCAGGAGTACTTCAATTCCCATCGACAGAACTCACAACCTCGAGATTTGTCTTCGTTATACCTTTATAAAAGATTTCAATAGTGAGACCTATGTTTTGTTTCCTAGCTGACTCTGATATTCTAAATCCGACAAATACAACAAGGAAGAATTGTCAATCATGGAACAATTACAGCCACCATGAAAAGCATTTGCCTCCCCTACCATCATTCAAAATACCACAAGAAATATCATATTTAAAACTTCCGGAATATTTCACAACCACTATATATATGACACTAAAAAGTGTTCCAACCCTAAGCTGGGTGTCAAAACTGATCTCTGATAACATTTCTTTATCAGCTCAAGTAAAGGTAACATACATGTGGACCGCTTCCTCACTTCTACACGACTGAAGTGCAAAACAGTAACATAAACAACAATAAAGAACGAAACAAAAATCAATAAAATCACAGAAATTTGAACTGATTTAGAAAAATGTTAAGAAATTGTAATAAAACATTTACCTGGTAAATATTTTAAATCCATTTCACATCATGCTTTCAAATTTTTTTTTACAAATAGCATATTGATAATGTTGTTGAATTTTACTGGAAAATTTCAAAGAAGTCAAAGATGAGAAGATAATAAATTACTTAACGTTATCTTTCTTCATGCATATATATAGACTTTCAAATATTTGAAGTGTCGAAATATAAAACTGAAAAAATGCCAAATTTTTCTTTAAAAATATCATTACGTATATCAAAATCAAAGAACCTTTACACCAACTTGTTACATAAATATCCTGTAGCGACACTCAAACACTGATCTGATACTGTACAATAGGCTTTTCAAATAGTGATTCCACCTAACCAGGGCTACACTCTCCAACAGATATACTGGTGTACACATACACCAGCAGGTTTTATATGACATAAATTGAACAATCCATGTTCCGGAATCATCTTCTGTGATGATTAATTTCCAGTTTCCTGATAAATCTACAGAATGCGAACCCTCACTTTAATGTACACTTTAACCTCTCAACTTTTTAAATTTCCTGTTTCTCTATGTCTATGTACATTATACTTCCTGTTTCTTAACGTTTATGTCAAACTTCTAAATGCTATATAACTGTAAATAAAGGCACTTATATACACCACTAGCACATGTACACATGTACATATATTCATTTAAAATTCCCAAACAATAGATCTATAGTAGTGCAGTATACCTGAAGTTCTCGAATGAATTCTGATTTTATTTAAATTCATGTATAAAGGATAGCTTTTCTAACTCTCTAAATTTTAACAACATCTATATAATATTTATTTAAGGTACAGGTACAGTAAACCTGACTAGAACGGCAATAAATCAAAATAGGCATCGAGGGTAAACCTCTTAAATAATCTTGGTAGTATCCAAGAGAGATCTAAACGTACTATTGAACTCAAGGTAACAGAGAGAAGATCTACAATCACAAGTATACCTGTAGACTGTTGTATTATCACATGTTAAATAATACCTATCTTTACAGTGGCACTACAGCTATAATGATCATATTGTAACTGATAGTGTAACAACTGTGAAATTCTGTCCGAGCCAGGGATCATTATCAGATTTCTCAGCCATTTCCTGAATACATTTATCTGAATTTGTAAACATTTAGTAAACTATCTAAATAGATTCAGACACAGATAATTTCTTTCAACCTTTATAACAATAAAATTACATAAATTTATTTTTACGTTCTTCAAAACTGAAGATGATCAAAGTAAATAAAACATTCGGTGATGAAGCTAGCATTGAACACATGATCATTATATCCTCTATAAATAAGATAGACCTGACAAACCAGACAAGTGAGAGACTATTTAACTGTTACAGGTAGATAATCTTCCCTCTGAACTATCAGTATTATCATTATTATTACATTCCTAACGGCCCGTCAACACATAAAAGGTCATTAGGGCCATCAAATGGTAAAACACACAGCGGTCCAAAAGGAAATAACATCAAACAAACCCAAAAGGTAAAAGACAATGTTAAAAATCTTAAATGGGTATGTTAACACAAAAGATTAAAATGGTATGTCATAATCTATTATATAGACCAACATCTTTCAGGTAATGTAGAATTTTACAAATCTCAACAGTTTCAAAAACGGATTTTAGACATGTAATGTTACGATAAAAATGTTCTCTAGTTGACAGAAGGTCAATGCAGTCCAATAAAAATGTTTAATGGTGAATGGCTCATCACATCCTATGCTTTATTACAAACAGCCAAGTACTACAGACACCTATATGTTTACCTAGTACTACAGACACCTATATGTTTGCCTAGTACTACAGACACCTATATGTTTTGCCTAGTACTACAGACACCTGTATGTTTACCTAGTACTACAGACACCTATATGTTTGCCTAGTACTACAGACACCTATATGTTTGCCTAGTACTACATACACCTATATGTTTACCTAGTACTACAGACACCTATGTTTTGCCTAGTACTACAGACACCTATATGTTTACCTAGTACTTCAGACACCTATATGTTTGCCTAGTTCTACAGACACCTATATGTTTACCTAGTATTACAGACACCTATATGTTTGCCTAGTACTACAGACACCTATATGTTTGCTTCGTACTTCAGACACCTATATGTTTGCCTAGTACTTCAGACACCTATATGTTTGCCTAGTACTACAGACACCTATATGTTTGCCTAGTACTACAGACAACTATATGTTTGCCTAGTACTTCAGACACCTATATGTTTGCCTAGTACTACAGACACCTATATGTTTGCCTAGTACTACAGACACCTATATGTTTTGCATAGTACTACAGACGCCTATATGTTTTGCCTAGTACTACAGACACCTATATGTTTGCCTAGTACTACAGACACCCATATGTTTGCCTAGTACTACAGACACCTATATGTTTGCCTAGTACTACAGACACCTATATGTTTGCCTAGTACTACAGACACCCATATGTTTGCCTAGTACTACAGACACCCATATGTTTGCCTAGTACTACAGACACCTATATGTTTGCCTAGTACTACAGACACCCATATGTTTGCCTAGTACTACAGACACCCATATGTTTGCCTAGTACTACAGACACCTATATGTTTGCCTAGTACTACAGACACCTATATGTTTGCCTAGTACTACAGACACCCATATGTTTGCCTAGTACTACAGACACCTATATGTTTGCCTAGTACTACAGACACCTATATGTTTGCCTAGTACTACAGACACCTATATGTTTGACTAGTACTACAGACACCTATATGTTTGCCTAGTACTACAGACACCCATATGTTTGCCTAGTACTACAGACACCTATATGTTTGCCTAGTACTACAGACACCTATATGTTTGCCTAGTACTACAGACACCTATATGTTTTACCTAGTACTACAGACACCCATATGTTTGCCTAGTACTACAGACACCTATATGTTTGCCTAGTACTACAGACACCCATATGTTTGCCTAGTACTACAGACACCTATATGTTTGCCTAGTACTACAGACACCTATATGTTTGCCTAGTACTACAGACACCTATATGTTTGACTAGTACTACAGACACCTATATGTTTGCCTAGTACTACAGACACCCATATGTTTGCCTAGTACTACAGACACCTATATGTTTGCCTAGTACTACAGACACCTATATGTTTGCCTAGTACTACAGACAACACTACAGTCCATAAAAAAAGCGTTCAGAATTAACTTAAAGCTCAATTCATATGTTCTGAAATTCATAAACTTTCAACAAATTTCAATCCTACATTTTTGAAATCCAAAAATAAGGGGACAACATGATTTTGAATACACACTGCTCACAGCACTTCATAACAATACTTAAGTTTCAAAGCGGTAGTGTATACAGATATGATAATATTCTACAGATCAAGCCATTCAAACAACTCAAAATGGCTAAAAATACATGTACATCCTCAAATATTTCAAACAAAATCTAAATATAATTCAAATTGTTAGGGTCAACAAAGCAAATGAAACAATGAAACAATTTTACAGGATGAAAAGACTTCATTATCTATTAAGAGGTCATGAAAACCAAACACAGATCAGAGGTAAGACATTCCTCTTCCTTCAACTTTAATTCCCAATCACAAACACACCTATTATATTACAGGTACTGGTATGTAGTTATGTAATGTCAAACAGTTTTATTTCTACAGGTGAAATAAAGCATATCACTAACTACAACTTACCTATACAAACTGTATTGAAAGTCACAATGAAATGTATATTGTACTATCTACTGTTAGCTCAAACTCTAATCAGACAGCTTTAATACATTATGTATGTATATAAATCTATTTTTTAAATGATTATAATGACAGACAGGAAATAACATTGCAATGACTAAAAGGGTTGAGAATGTAAAATTGTGCAGTTTTACATTTTTTATTTCTTTTTTTCTCTTTCTTTCTTTTAAATATTGGTGAGAGGTCAGTGGAAATATTAGAGATGTGACAAATTTTCTAAACTAAAGTATTTGTTTGGGAAAGTGGACAACACACTAAATTCTATGTAAAGATTATAAGTGATGGTTTAACAAGTTGCTTCACAAAGCTCAGAAATAGAAGATTGAGACACTTTGACTAAAATGCATTTCAAACTAGCAAAGGGAGTCTGGAAAGTGAAGATGATTAGGTTTTAGAAATTCCAAGCTATACATGTAAATATACTTGCCTCATCTGTTTAACTATGGTTTCAATCCTACTGGCATCCAGCTCTTTTTTCATGCTAGCCCTGAATGAGTTTGAATTCTTCGACATGATGATTTGTTCTTCACAGTATAAAGAT